TTGTAATCTTGTATAGACTTTGTAAGTTCATCAAATTTGTAATTCGTCCCACAATGATTGCACTCTTTTTTTCTTACCAAGTTTTTATCCCAATTGGGTTTTTCTTGGTAAGGTTTTTAATGAGGCAATTATGAATTACAAATTTAAAAATCAATGAAGAAGTAATTTTTTTTATATAGTTCGTTCGTGTCGTGTGTTCATTTCATATTTCAAATTGTAATATACACAATTACACATTGTAATTATACAAATACTTATTTCAACAACATAAAAATATAATATAAAAAAAAAATTTCGGGCAGCCGGTCGGGCTGCCCGATGCCCGACCGGGCACGGGCAGGCTTCCTCTGCTCGAAGCCCGTCCATGAGAATTTTTGGGTTGGGTCGGGCAGCCCGAATTTTCGGGCAGATCGGGTTCGGTCATCGGGCAAAAATTCAGACTTTTCGGTGGTCACGGGCGGCCCGTCTAAAGTTTCAGCACTGATTCTAATAATGCAACGCGTTCATATCTTTTGAGGATAATACAAGTCATTTATATCCACAGCATAATAATAATAATACTTTCAACTACTCTACTCTAAATCAATTCTTTTAAAGTGTTTAATTTAATTTTAAGATATTTGACACATTTACTCCCTCAACTTTTATGATTTTAACATTTACCTTCTAAACTTTTAATTTTAACAAAATTTTCCTTTCAACTTGTAAAATTATTACAATATATATCATTAAATTAGTATCAAGAAAATACGTTCAACGAAAAATTTAAACATCCTAATATTAATGTAACATAAATCTTTCAATTCCTTAAATCTAATAAAAAAATTTGAAAAAATTTAATAAAAATGAGAATAATTTTACAAGTCTTGAAGAGTTGATTATCAAAATTAAAAATTTAAAGAGTAATTTGCTAAACCATAAGAAGTTTAGAAGACATTTATAAGACACCCATTAATTACATCAAAATTTAGTTTAATGGCTAATGATCTTTTTCCACCGGTAGAAAAAAAAAAAACGTATCCTATCATGCCAAATGTAACCATGTTATCACTTTTCATAATACCTAGTAACCATGCCATGGCCTTCAATCTTAAATATGAGAGTTTGAGAACACACACACACACACACACATATATATTATATATATATATATAACAAATTTGTTCACAAGAATTTAGAAAGAGAAACTTTTTGAATTTCCTAAGCTTTTGAACAACCTTTTGTTTCATCATCACTTTTCCCATTCCATATAAACGAAACAAAAATTAAAAACTTATGGTTAAAATTTACCACTTCTAGATCTACATGTATGATGATGGTTCTCCTCTAACCTCAACATCAACCTTTTTCTCCCAATGAAAATGAAAAAAAAAAAAAAAAAAAAAAAGCTTGAGCTTTCCATTTCACACAACCCCAACCAATCCCCTCCCGCCACGTGGCCAGCTCCATCGGAAAGGAACAACCCAACCAACCACAACACAACAAAAACGAAAAGAAGATCAAAATTTTTGATCTCTGATCTTGGACGCTCCTCCCTACTCCTCTAATGGGCCCCACGCCTGATCATCTCCTGGTACTGGTTGAGCGACTCCTGCCTCTGCAGCCTCATCTCCTCGTTGAACTTCTTGATGAACGCCTCGACTCGGCGGTTCAACTCGTCCTGACTCAGCGACGGCTCCTTCCTCAGCTTCCCCGACCCGGGGGACGGACTCAGCGACGAGTTGGGGTTCCGGTCGGCGAAGGTCTCCGACTTCTTCATCTTCGCCGGAGGAGGGGTAGATTGGTCATTCTGCGACTGAATCCCCACTCCTCCCCTCCGCACGTGCGACTCCCACGTGTCGGACTTCTTGAGGTGCCTCGTCAGCGGCATCGGACGGCCCTCCGTTATCGTCTTCCACGTGCTCTCCAGCGTGTCCTGCCTCTTCGGCTTCGATACTCTCAATGCCTTCCCTCCTCCTGCACAAACAAACAAAAATTGACCTCAAAACCCTCGCTTATTTACGCTTTTGCCACCGTCGTCGTGGTGATAATTATCGTGTGCAACTCCGACCACCGAGAGTCCGATGGTCGCATCTCTGAGAACAAAATGACTTCAAAAACATCACTAAATTACGTTTTTGGCATCATCATTGTGAAAAGAATCACGTGGAACAATGACTACCGAATGTTCGATACTCTTGGGGAAAAAAAATAAACAGAGAGAGAAAAAGAAAATGACCTCAAAACCGCTTTGCGATTTTGCTCGTTCTACATTTTCAGCCGGTAAATGGTCGAATTTCGAAACGGCGACGGAGATTTGAACAATGGGAAAAGAAAGAATCGTGTGGAAATCTGACCGCCGAAAGTACAACGGTTTGGTCTCTGAACCACTCAGTGAGAGGGAGATGAGAAAAATTGACCTTAAAAAACCTCACTTAATTACGCTTCTGCCATCGTCGTTTTCCATTTAGGTTTGAACAACGGGAAAAGAAACGATTGTGTTGAATTCTGACCACCGAAAGTTCGAATGGTCTCAACTCCGAACCAATCCGTATTAGAAAAATTCAAAAATTTTCAAACGACTTGTCACGCGAAAAACCCCAACTACACGAGAGAGAGAGAGAGAGAGAGAGAGAGAGAGAGAGAGAGAGAGAGAGAGAGAGAGAGAGAGAGAGAGAGAGAGAGAGAGAGTACCTTCAGGACTGGCTTTAACAGCCTTTCGGTGACCAAACCTCGCAGAAACCGGCGGTTTCTCGTTCTCACTAGGGAAAAAGTACTCCAGAGAAGAATCTTTCCTCTGCAAACCGTTCCTCTCCGACGCCGCCACGATCGCCTCTTCTCTCTCCTCCTTCTCCGCCGCCGAAACACTAGCTTCCACCACCCTCGCGGCCGGTGCGTACACCACACTCTCCGCTGTCATAGCTGAGACCTTCGCGACCTCGCCAGGATCGTAACCGTAGCCAGTCAAAACGACGCCGCTGTATACCGCGTAGTCCGTTCTCACTTCTCCGCCGGAAATCTTGACCTCGCCGGCAGTAATGGCCACATGCGACGGCGAAGTTGACGGATCTTCGAGCTTCTGATGGAGCTTCGACGACGCGACGATGCTGATGATGATGCCGTTGATGAGGACGTAGAGATAAGGAGGCTTCAGCCATGAGAGGACGAAGCTCCAGAAGGAAGGAACTTCAGAAGCTACGAAATCTACGACGACGGGAACTGAGAGCTTCAGAGCCACCGCCATGGAAAGGACTCCGGTCGAAATCAACACGACTTTCAGAGGAAGGATCCAGTTGTTGCTCGGATTCGCCGAGTACATCGCCATGATTTCTCTCTTTCAAATGTTTCTTTTTAATCGGAAATATATATATATATACATATATATAGTTTGTTTTCTGTTTTTCCGGTGAAGGTTCCAGAGAGAGCTGCTGAAGAAGAATGAGACTTGTAAAGAGTTACTCAGCACATATATAGAGGAAGAGAGGAGTTGATTGTGATGAAACGCGAACCGTTGGATCAAGCCGCTGAAAAGTTTTTTTTTTTTTTTTTTTTTTTTGAGAAGAAAGCCGCTGAAATGTTAGATACGTTTATTTTTAAGGAAGAAATTTTTTGTGGGAAAATTCAAAGCAAAATAATAATTAAAAAAATAAAAAGGAAAGCTTATTAAAAAAATAGATAAAAAGGAAAGGCATCCAAGCACTAAAACGATATTTCAAGAACACTGCTTTTGTTTATATTGTTGAAATTATTTTATTAATTAAAAAAATTAATAACTATAATAGTACATTTTATATTACTTACGAGAACTATTGACAATATACAATAAAGGAGATTTTATGGTACAACTTAAAAAATAAGGGTTAATTTCAAAGATGATCCTTGAGATTTAGAGTGCGTTTGGTTCAAGGATTCGTGCCATGGTTCGAATTATGGTTCGTAACTCGCTACAGTATTTTATCTCACAAAAAACACACGTAAATCGAGAATGGTTCTGAATCATGATTCTAAATCCATTAACCAAACGTCTTATTACTTTTAATTTTATTTTAATTTCAGACTTTTAAAACGTCTCACAATTAATTTTTGAAGTTTTATTTCTCTCAGTTTCAGTTTTTTCGTTAGCTAGATGTTAAATATTTGACAAAATTTGTAAAACTTAAAGACTAAAATTAGAAACATCAAGAGTTTAGGGACTACAACGATACAAAAAATAAAAAGTTATTTCTACATATTGTCTCTAAATTTTAGCAATTTCTAATTTTAATTCTTAATTTCTACACATTGTCTCTAAATTTTAGCAATTTCTAATGTTAATTCTTAATTTCGACATATTGTCCTTAAATTTAAATTGTTTCTAATTTTGGCTTCTAATTTACACTAATTACATCAAATATTTAACAACTAGTTAAATAAAGGATCAAAATTGAATCAGAATAAAATCTCAGAGACCAATTTTGAGATGTTTTAAAAGTTAAAGACCAAAGTATAATTGAGGATAAACTTTAAGACTATTTGTGGAATTAATCCATAAAATAAAGTATTACTGTCTTCGATTTTAATTGTCAAATATGTATGAGAAATTATATTTGTCTTTTAGGTAATCTTGATAAATACTCTTTAAAAGTGTATCGGTCAGAATTTTTATTCTTTACTCTTGATTAATATCCTTTTTAGTTAAATAATTACACTAATAAAAGAATCTTTATCAAGAATAAAGAATAAAAGTCGAGACTCAAACACTTTTAGAAATAAATTCTCTATTTTTCATTTTTTTTCTTTTTTTCTTTTTTATTTTAATCAAATTTAATTGTTAACGTAGAAGTAGGATCCTATAATAAATCAGTATAATTCATGAAATATTTTAGTTTCGCTATGAAAAAAAAAAATCCAAAAGAGATGAAAAAAGAGAATTTTGTGGGATAAACATGGAGGTCTGCCATGTAGATATAAGTGGTTACACGCCAGCAAGTAATGGGTTTCGTTCCACGTAGTAATAGTGCCAAGTGGTGGTGTCTACGTGGCACAGGAACGAGCTTACCAGTTACCAGTGAATAACAGTTTTTGTTTTTTTTTTTTCCTTGTTTGATATATGAAAAACAGCAAGTAATGGGTTAATCAATGTGAAACTTTTTTTTTTCTTTTCCTTTTGGTTTAACAAATGACGGGTCTAATTGGAAGAAATTTGAAAATGAAATAAATCCCAAAAGCGGAAAATGACAGAAGAGTTTTGATTAACACGAGACTTGGCTTCCAAGTTAGCTAATCTTTAGTCTTTCTTGTTGTAATGATGATCATTAGATTAGATGCGACAGTTAAAACTGTGAACAATTATATCAGAATCTTCCATTACTATTTAGCTTAGACAGTGTCAGACAGATTAGCGGGGTAATTACTTGGGTGTAATCATTTGTTAAGCCATGCACCTTTTATGGTCTCTTCAACCTTTAGTAGTATATTTTGTTAAAAGGTTAATTTTAAGAGATTTTTTTTGGGTTTTTTTTTAGAACATCAATCTTATATGTTTATCAACTATCATATTTATGTTATTTTTTAATTAGATTTAATATATATGTAATGATTGATAAGTAGAAAATATCAATATTTTAAGAGTTGTCATGTTACTTCAAGTTAGTAGTGATTAATTAGGCCTCGTTCGTTTCGCTGATTCGAGTTTAGAATTTGAGTTTTGCTACAGTAAAAAGCTCTCACAAACAATCACATCTAATTTTTTTTGCTACAGTAAAAAACTCTCACATACAATCACATCTCAACTCAAATTTTAAACTCGAATCATCGAAACGAATGAGGCTTAGTGAACTTTGGCTGTCTTTTTTGGGATTAAAAATACTCTTCTCATAGATAAAATACAGGCTGTTCCCAAATTCCTTTCACATTGTGTAATTGCGACTTTCCAATGCCCTTAATTTAATGGACACTAAAACCAGCATGATCCTATAAAATAATTGCAACTTTTAGATGTTTCTTAACATGGAGTTTATTTATTAGGAGTTTCTCTCGTAGGTCTTAAAAAATAACCATAACGAAAAGTTTCTGTTTTCAATTATAAAATTTATATTAAAACTATTTATTCTATATATTTTTTTAATTTAATATGATTTTAATCAGATTTAATGGTTAGAAATTGATTTTTTTAACATAGACTCCATAGAAAAACTCTCTCATCTATTTTTAATTATAAATAAACAAACGAGAAAAAAAATTACCTATTGGGTTCTTATTTTCTTCAGCTTTTCAAGCAGAAAAAGGTTATTTTTTAATCTGGGTTTGTTAGTAATCTTCCTAGAGAACCCAACCACAAGTTGTTCATGTTCCATTAAATATTGTTCCATTTCTATTGCGTTATGCTGTGGGCATTGTCAGGAAGATTTGAATATTTAAAAAAAAGCTGAGTCTTCTCAACGGCTATATATTATTTGACCGTTAACAGCGGAGGTGTTTTAGGATCCTTGATCACCGGCCCATCGGCCTTTTGGGCTTCCCACGTGCCGATCACACTGATTAGTTTACCTCTTACCGACCACGCTTTTTGCATTGAAGATTCTGTTTAGTTTATTAGAATTTTGAAAAGTAATTGATAAAAAGAATTTTTTTTTTTAAAAAAAAAAAACGACACAAAATGTGAATTTTGTACGTTTCTGAAGCAAGCCCATTTAATGGGAGATACCTTGGAGCAATTCACATGTCGAGCTTAAGAAGATTTCCATGTGGCTAATAGCTAAATCTATTAGGAAATACATTTGCCTTCTTTTGTTCATTTTGTGATAGTTATAGTTTATTGATTTGAGTTTTTAATTTAAATTCAGATTTAATTTTATGTGAGATATTTTTATTATAATAAAAAAAATTAGATATGATTTTTTGTGAGACTTTTTAACTGTAATAAAATTAAAATTAAAAACTCAAATCAGTAAAATAAATAAGAATTAAGAAAAACGTAAAGTCAACTTAGTGTAATATGAATTAGCATGTGATTGCTTTAGTTTGTCAATGCTATAAATACATATATATATATATATATATATT